TAATTGCAAGAAGGATTTAGGGGTCATTATAAATAATCAACTTAACATGAACTCCCAGTGCAATAGTACAGCTAAAAGAGCTAATGCAATCATTAGGTATATAAACAAGGGACTATTGATGAGGAATATGTATTACCTCTGCATATGGTACTGGTGAGATCATTACTGGATACTGTGTCTAGTTCTGGTGCCCATACTTTACATACGATGTTGACAAATTGGAAAGGGTTAGAGCAGAGCTACAAGAATTATTCAAGGTCTGGAAAATACTCCTTACACTCAGAGACTCAAAAGAGCTCCGTCTATTTAATTTATGAAAGAGAAGGTGATTATGTGATTTAATTACAATCTAGCGAGGGCTTATACAAAGAGAAGACATCTGATACTACATGGCTCTTTAGTCTAGCAGAAAGACATAAGATCCAATAGCTGGAAGTTGAAGTCAGCAACATTCTAATTGGAAATAAGATGCACATTTTTAATAGTGAGTGTAATTAACCATTGGAACAGATTAGCAAGGGATGTGGTCAATTCGCCTTCATTTGAAGCTTTTAAATGAAGACAAGATCAATCTTTCTATTAAATATGCTCTAATTCAATCACAAGCCATTGCCTGAAGTTAGCAAAGTTCTAACTGAAATAAGATGCCTACTTTAACAATGAATGAATAACCATTGGAACAAGTCAGTAAGGGGTGTTGTAAATCCTCCATTACTTCTAGTCTTTAAATCAGGATTGGCTGTCATTCTAAAAGCTATGCTGTAGCTCAGCTAAAAGTTGCTGGATTAGATATGAGGAGAAGTGGTGAGGTTGTCTGGCCTATGCAATGCAGGAGGACAGACTACACGACCATAGTGGTCCCTTCTGGCCATGAAATGTATGGACCCATGAATGGGAGGGGACATGTTTCACAGGATGGTGAATAGAGGATGTGTCCACAAGAGAATCTGTTAAAATACTGTCAAGGCAGCCAATGAAATGTCTGAGGACCCTTGAACTAAATCCTGTGCGATTCTTTACTTTGCAAATCTTTGTGATGTGATTTTCATCTTGGCATTGTCCCTTTTATATTGATTCTGACTCACACTAATTTGAGAGCCAGACAACAATGGCCCGGGGGCTGAGCTGGAACTTCTACTACTGGTATGTTTATCTCTAAATAGAGAAGTAAATAAACCCTCAGCAAACTGCATGCCCTGTTCTGGGCAGAAGCAGATGTGTCTGACTCATACCCCCTCTTTCCTGCTCTCTCCACACATTTGTTTGTAACACTCACTTGGTGCATCTGGAGTTAAATTAAGTGTACGCTCTTTAGGGCAGAGGTTGCCTCTTACTATAGGTTTGAGCTGCACCCTGCACATTGAGGCTTGATCTGAGTGCAGCCTCTGGTGTCACTGTAACAGAAATTCATAAATAAAATCAATCAATAATACCTAGTTCTTATATAGCACTTTTCATCTGCGAGTGCTTTACAAGGAGGTCAGAATAGTATGAACAATAATAAAGTTAATTCTGTCTTTTAAAAAGAGGAACAGTTGCGACCCTAGAAAATAGGGGCCAATCTAAGTGCTATCCTGAACATCACCTTATCCCTTCAAGAGACGGAACAGCTTGAAGAGATACAGGTTACAAACAGAAACCAGCATGATCAGATGGATCATACCAGACCAACCAGAGGTGAAATTCGGCGCTACTGAAGTCGGTAGGAGTTTTGCCATTGACTTCAATGAAATCCCCATGAAATCTTTTTCAGGGAGTCACATCCCAGAGCAGAGTTCCTCACCTGGGAAGTGGTGAGAAGGAGATGACATCCCAAACATCCTTCTCCATGTCCAGTCTCTGCACTCCACCATACACATCTCCCTTTTCATCCAGGCCACAGACCACGTAAAGCCTGGTCCCCACACTGACTGCACCTGCTCTCTCCACAGGCTGAACCATGGGGCTCATGCTTTGCCATTGCGAGTCCATTAATGCCAGGCGCTCCACATCTGGGATTATGCCCTCATCTGTGCTCCCTCCAAGCACGTACAGATAGAGCCCAGCCCCTACGGCACAATGACTGTTGCGAGACTGCTTCATAGCAGGCCCTTCCAGCCAGTTGTTGTCCCAGCAATTATAGATCAACACCCAGTCCACGCTGTACCACACAAACTCATCTCGGAAATAACCTCCTGTCACAAAAAGGAAGTTCCCTGGGGATAGAATGGAAAGAAGTGTCAGGCAGAGGCATCTCTCAGCCATCCTCATGCATATCCTGCTGCCCACTTCCCCTCAAGCAATTTGCACATTTAGGCTTCCTTCCTGCAGTATGATCTGTGTGGAGTCCCTTGCACCTGAGCAAGTTCTCCTTGGAATCAATGGGGTTCCAGGTAGGTATGGGGTCTGCCCGTGTAGATCAGAGTGCAGGACTGGAGTCTTAATCTCTCCTTCAGCTTCTAATATGGATGAGACATGAACAGTTTGCTGCAAATATTTGACACTCGGTATTTGAAATTTAGCTGCATTGCCTGCATTGTGATTGGTCATGTAAGTCAGATGGCCTTGTTTCTCTTCCCTGATAGGAGGAAGCTAACTCTTAAAATAAGGTTTTCTATAGAGTACTAAGCTTAAAATGTGCATTCCACAGGTATTCATCCCATTACAACTTGATCACCTCAAAGCCATCACAAAATGGCTGCAAAGATAGACAGAGCTAATCTGCCCTTTAATTTGCACTAAACGTCACACCAGTTTACAACATTTGTTTCAGTATTTGCTCAAATGTGTCAGACTAACGGAATATAGTGACTCTCCCGTAAGAGTAATGCACTCAGTGTAACACAGTCAGGTACGTGCAGTTAATTCTGAAGATCATCACTGTGACAGAGAGGGCTCTGGCCCTAAGAAGGAAGCTATACAATAGAGTTACTCTGCACAACTGATGTAAGTGGGAGTAGAGTCATAGCTTTAATGTTTATGCCCCATGGTCATCACATTCAGAAAGAATGAATATTTCCTTTTTTCAGTCAAGTCCCCATACAAACCCCTTACAGCCAAGCCACCAGGATTAACAGGTCTTTGAACCAAAGAGAACTTTAGGTCTGAGTTAAGTCACTAACAGCACTGATGGTTTAATGGGGGGAGAATCTGAGCCCACGGCAATCAAGGCTCCAAACCCTGACTTCCTCTGAGTTTGCCCAGTTCTTGCTAGGTGCCACCTGCACTATTTGTTGCAAAGAGTTCTGAGTACACATGCATCTCAGGGAGAGTTACCTACTGCTGCCACTGCATACTGGATGAGGTTCCTGCGCTGCAGCGGGGAGCAAAGATGCCAGGTGCCAGATTTAGGTTGAAACTGAAACAATTCTTGCTGCTCCTTATCATGCTTCCCTCCCAGAACATATAGGGTCTCATAGCTCCTGCTGGTGCAAGGAGACAGCTCCGTGTTCCTCCATCTGAGCGGAGGGCAGCTGTCTAATTTCTTTAGCAGCCTGGCAGAGGTATCCTTCTCTCCAGGGTTTTTGCTTTGTTTCACCAAGATATCAAGGAAGGAAAGACTCAGGAAGGTTACCCTGACCTGCCCCACCAAGTCCAAGAAGGCCTCCTCCCTAGATGCTGGGTCCTGCATTATCCATTTCATCACAGTATCAAAAACGACATCCTCTCGGGGAACAAAGAGGTCATTGTTTTGCAGGAGCTGCAGCAACATTTCTTTGGGAAGCTTCTTAAATTCTTCCTGAGAAGTCACTTCCGTCCAGTGCGTGAGAGCCACGCTGAGAGCTGATGCATGAAGCTCTGGACAGGCAAAGCATTGGGCATAGGCCATCAGGCTCAGACAGTTGGAAACGTGCAGCTCCCTCTCCAGGAACTTCTCACACATTCTTTTCACTCTCTCAAACTGGAGGAAGTCAGCTGTTTCCAGCAGGTGGGTGACATTGTGCAGAGTTATGAGCACCTTGGCTGTGCGAGTGAACTCGAGAAGCGCTTGGAAAGTCTCTGCATCTACTCCTCTGATCACTATGTGGTGTTCGGAGCTCTCTCTAGTGCCCCCAAAAAACATGGCCTCAAAATAGCGACTATGGAGAGATAATGCACCACGATTGACCTGGAAAAGTCTCTGTCCAATCTCAAGAATGGTGTCGGTAACTGGTTCTGCCCGAAGTCTCAGCCCTTCTGGTTCCTGCGCACAGTCCATGTTAGTTGTCAGCTGGAGGAGTTAAAATTAACTCAGCCCTTCAGCACCCTTTGCTCATGTGAGGCATCTGGAACTGTGACTTTGATAAATATGTGATATGCCAGCCTTGTCCTAAAAATAGACCATACTTCCTACGCTCCTGTCTGGCTCCTCTCTCTTTCCCACTCTCACTAAGCTTATTCTGCCACCACTTCACTCCTCTCAGACCCCTCAGCAGCTGCAGCAGTAAGGCTGTAAATCAATGCTGAGGTTTTGTGGCTAGTTTATAAACGTTAAGAGCAAGGGGTTGATGGATTTCAGAAGCCTGATGGTGAGTGGAAAAAAAACCTGCACACCCTAGACAAATTCCATAATTTAATAAGAAATACATACTTGGCAGTTACACAGTGGTTTTCATTCAAGATTTTACAAAATCCAGTTAACTAACCCTAACCAGTCTCTGTGTGTGGATAGGCAGCTGATCTCTACTCCCAAGGAAACTGAGGCACAGAGAGGGGAGGTGATTTGCAATCTTAGATTTAGCAAGAGAGCCCAGAACTCCCAACCCGTTTTCACCACAATGAGATTAAATGGTTTGACTAAGCTACAGCTGAGGAATTAATTGTGTGTTTTTAAACCATCAGATCTCTCTGCAGTTCTGGGAAGCAGAGGAAGTTCAGAATGATGTGGGCTTCACAAAGTAAAACCAAAAGGAGCCAACCAGTTTTCTCAACTGCAGAGTCTGTTGTAAAACAAAACAAGAAATAAGAGTCATAACTCCCAGATCTTTCTCTAAATGAAGAAGTTCAATCTGCAACTTAATACTGGATAAACACAAGCAACCAACTAAACTGAGGCACAAATCTAGGTGCCCTGGAATGGATCCAGATCCCACCAGCCCCACTCTACTTCTCACAGAGAACAGTGTGAATGTGCCCTCCCTCACTGTTCCCAATTAGCTAGGTCTTCACAGATGGGGGTATTTCTGCAAAGTGAATGTGGCTCAGAAAGCCAGCTGCAATAGAAAGTCCCCCTCTGTTCCTCCAGCTAAGGAGAAACTGTCTCCTAGCATGAGGTTCACAAAAATGTTTCTTTAGCAGTTAAGAGCCCTTTTCTAAGGACCTTGGTACTAGGTCTCAACTATCTCCTACTCTGAACCTCACTCTAATCAATCTGACATTATGGATTTAAATGATGCTGGGTGCTCTGATGTAAGTCTGCCTCCAGATCTCTTACCAATCCTTGAAATTGAGCTCTGCAGGTGCACTGCAGAACTCATACCAGGCTGCTACAGCTTGGAGAGACTGGGCTTCTGCACTTTAGCATTGACACTATCCCTTTCTACCAACCCAACTCCTCATTAATAACACAAGGGCTGCCCCAGAGAGCAGTTGTAATTTGTCAGTCAATGTAAAGTGCACAAGCTCCCAGCTGATATGGTCAGATTCTAAGATATGTGACCTGAGGTGGAATTGGCTGTTGCCAGTAGCACTGACAAAGGCAATATTATTCTCTAGAAGTGCTCTGGGTCATCATATTGCTGGTCTATTAGTAGGTCCATCTAAATACTTATACTATGGCTCATCACCATGGTATCTGAGAGCCTTTCAAAAGAACCAGGTAGTTCTCCACACACTGATCCAACTTTGCAAGAAGAACAGGAGTACTTGTGGCACCTTAGAGACTAACAAATTTATTAGAGCATAAGCTTTCGTGGGCTACAACCCACTTCTTCGGATGCATATTGAGTGAAACATATCGAGGAGATATATATACACACACATACAGAGAGCATGAACAGGTGGGAGTTGTCTTAATTGGCCTCTCAGAGTTGGTAAGACAACTCCCACCTGTTCATGCTCTCTGTATGTGTGTGTATATATATCTCCTCGATATGTTTCACTCAATATGCATCCGAAGAAGTGGGTTGTAGCCCACGAAAGCTTATGCTCTAATAAATTTGTTAGTCTCTAAGGTGCCACAAGTACTCCTGTTCTTCTTGCGGATACAGACTAACACGGCTGCTACTCTGAAACCTGATCCAACTTTCTTCATCTATCCATGTCAAGGGACAGGGTGGGATAGTTGTTATAGCAGATTGGAAAACATAATTTCTGTCCCATGGGAAATTCCAGTATTTCATCATGTTTTCATCCTCAATTGGGACAAAAAGTCAAACTATCAAAACTTTTAGCAGATCAAAAAGTTCAGAAAAAATTTGATTTGGCAATATCTGATTATTAAGAGTCAATATTAACTGGTGCCTGCTTGAGTTGCCCTGGTGTCTCCTAGGAGTGTGTAGTTCATCTAGCTCATGGTCCCATTCTTCTTTACAAGCCAAGGTCCCCTGCTAGACTAACTCTCCCATGATGCACCATGACACACTGCAGCAGTTTAGACGGATATAGATTAACACTGAACCCCCCTGAAACTACGTTTTAATTTTCCATTAGGAAAATGGATAGTTGTAGGCAAAATTGACATTTCTGGAAAATCAACTTTTTCCACGGAAAACCACATTTTCCATCATTAAACAGAGCCAAGGTCATGGAGAAGCAGTGATTCTTATTCTTTCACTCAGTCCCACAAATGTGGAATGAAGATGGGGCAGAGGAAATGGGGAAAGTCTCATTTCTGGGAGTTTTCTCAGCAACTATAGGAGCCATCCTTCCTCACTGACTTCCATTTTCAAATGGAGTGGTGGCCCCACATCAGAGTCTATATGTACATCAGACTTGGTCTCCTTTCACCTTCCCCTCCACCCTCTCTTCTTGCAAACATCTCTATGCCTTCTTCACCACTGCCATATATGGTTGGCATGCTCTTCCAAGATCTATGCAGAGTTAAGGTTCTGGTGCACAGTCAGCAGGGGAGGTGCCTGGTTGTTGTTGGAGAAGGCAGGCATGCACTGTTAAGCTACTTAACTTTTCATTTCCTTGCTTTGGTAGGTTTGCATCACGTATGTTTCCAAAGTGTGTGTGTGTGTACGTACACATAAGTCTGTAGGACAGAACCAGTTTTGTGGGTTTTCTGCAGAAGCCCCAGTACATTGTGAGTTATATAACATAGCATGCTATATAGGTAAAACTCCTGTCAACTACTGAAAAGTATCACAATTACAGAAAAGAACTTAAAAAAAATAATTGGCACAGCTTTGATCAAGAACTAGCAAAAGCTTATTAAAAACTAAAATCCAACGCCTTCATCCCTCTGTAAACAGCCTTTTAGTGGTACACCAACAGGGAATTTCTTCTCCCTGAAGTTTCACATGTGTATTCAGAGACTGTCAACGTTTTAGTGACAAAAAAGGGAGATTTAGAAGCCCCCACTCTTCAAAATATTTCAGCTCCTATCTTAGCAAGACTACATAACCAAGTTCCAATTAAAGAACAAAGTTTACCTTCAGAACCATGCAAAATCACGTTCAATGGAGCTGCCCAAGTTGTGCTTTCACGTATATGGGCAGCATTGTTATTATTGATGCTGCATGAGCCAGAAAGACTCTAGCTGACTTTTATATGCTATATTGAGTTTACAAGACTGGTTTTCCAGATTAAAATTGATATATGCACAAGAGCAGCAAATTAGCCTCATAAGAGCTTTTATTTATTCAGTTGTTCTGAAGTTTTCCCATGTATCATGTATAAAGTTTAGAAATGCATAGTTACAAGTCAACAAGAAGAAATCACAAGTGGAAGTATGTGTGCAAGCTACAAAGTAACCTCGTACTACTAGACTGCCTGCAGTAGAAAATTAAATTTTAAAATAAAGCATACAGGACAAAACCAATGTTCTTTCCCCGTGGTCCAATCTGCTATATAGAAGAAAACAGGTAACTTCAGTAGGTTTTAGGTCACTCAGCCAAGCCTGAAATTTTCTGGGGCCACTCAACACAGATGTCTCTAGGGAAGACTGACTTTACAAATTCCACCAAAGGCAAGATTTGGAACAAGAGCCAGAAATTGATAGATTCCCTTCTTAGCTCTAGTGTTTATAAAGAATGGTAACAAGTCAGTAAACACTCAAATTAGTTTCCCTATAAGTATCAGAGTGGGCAGGCAGGTAAGAAATCACTAGTACAGAGCCTAAGATGCTCTATGAAATGGTCCCTGCCTATGAATTCTGCTGCCTAGAGGAACGAAAACAGAATGGAAAAAACAGATCTGAAGAAGGTCTCTGTGTAAGCTTGTTCTCGCTAACAGACATTGGTCCAATAAAAGATATTACCTCACCCACTTTGTCTCCCTACTATGAAAACTTGGTTTTGGGGGTATTTAATTAGTCTTTTAGACCCAATCTTCACGCATGCCTGCTGGCTACCACCATTATTATTTCCAAGCAGTCGTTTTAAACCCAGAATAGAGAAAGGGTTCCCTGTACCATTTAAGACTTCAATTTGAACACTGACTAGAGCAGTAATGAAGTTTTTTTTTATTGAACAAAATTAGATCTTATTTTGCAGTTGTCATTCAGTGTTCCTGCTATCACCGTGGCAAATGGCAAAGTAAAAAGGTCAAGGTCCTTCTGCCCTTTATAAAATGAACATTTTAAAAAACCAAACAAACAATCTATTCCCCAAAATGGGAAGGTTTCTGATACACTGTTCATTATCTCCAATGATTTGCAGCCTTGAGGCTTCAGTGAGTCCCAAGAAAACGTTAGCCCTCCTGCTGCTGAATGAAAGGGTTTGGAATAGCTTCCATTCCATCCTGTGGACAAATAAGAACCACGGATGTTCCTCTGCAAACCACCAGTCCCAGCTGACGGGTATCCTCTGTTAGTTTGTATTGGTCATCTGGATCTGAAAGAAAACCATCCAGGAGAGTTTAGGATTACAATGACAGCATAAAGAAAAGAAACAGAATTCAACAATTATTTTATAGAGTAGAGATTAAATTTCCTCTATCATTCTTCATAGAATCATATGGGACTGGAAGGGACCTTGAGAGGTCATCTACTTCAGTCGCCTGCACTAATGGCAGGACTAAGTATTAGTCTTATAACTTTTGATTCCTATTAGTA